CAGCCCGGCTGATCAGGAACTGACTTTAGGTGCTTGTCCAGTGCCAGCTTGAAGACTGCCAGGGGTCTGTTGGTAATCCCCCTTATGTGTGCTGGGAGGCAGTTGAACAGTCTGGGTCCCCTGACACTTATTGTATGGTCTCTTAACGTGCTAGTGACACCCCTGCTTTTCATTGGGGGGATGGTGCATCGTCTGCCAAGTCTTTTGCTTTCGTAGTGAGTGATTTTCGTGTGCAAGTTCGGTACTAGTCCCTCTAGGATTTTCCAGTGTATATAATCATGTATCTCTCCCTCCTGCTTCCAGGGAATACAGGTTTAGAAACCTCAAGCGCTCCCAGTAATTGAGGTGTTTTATCTCCGTTATGCGCGCCGTGAAAGTTCCTGTACATTTTCTAGGTCGGCAATTCACCTGCCTTGAAAGGTGCTGTTAGAGTGCAGCAATATTCCAGCCTAGATAGAACAAGTGACCTGAAGAGTGTCATCATGGGCTTGGCCTCCCTAGTTTGAAGGTTCTCATTATCCATCCTGTCATTTTTCTAGCAGATGCGATTGATACAATGTTAGGGCCCTTTGAAGGTGAGATCCTCCGACATAATCACTCCCAGGTCTTTGACGTTGGTGTTTCGCTCTATTTTGTGGCCAGAATTTGTTTTGTACTCTGAGAAGATTAATTTCCTCATGTTTCCATATCTGAGTAATTGAAATTTCTCATCGTTGAACTTCATATTGTTTTCTGCAGCCCACTGAAAGATTTGGTTGATGTCCGCCTGGAGCCTTGCAGTGTCTGCAATGGAAGACACTGTCATGCAGATTCGGGTGTCATCTGCAAAGGATAGACACGGTGCTGTGGCTGACATCCTTGTCTATGTCGGATATGAGGATGAGGAACAAGATGGGAGCTAGTACTGTGCCTTGTGGAACAGAGCTTTTCACCGTAGCTGCCTCGGACTTACTCTGTTGACGACTACTCTCTGTGTTCTGTTAGTGAGGAAATTATAGATCCATCGACCAACTTTTCCTGTTATTCCTTTAGCGCGCATTTGTGCGCTATTACGCCATGGTCACACTTGTCGAAGGCTTTTGCAAAGTCTGTATATATTACATCTGCATTCTTTTTGTCTTCTAGTGCATTTAGGACCTTGTCGTAGTGATCAGTAGTTGAGACAGACAGGAGCGACCTGTTCTAAACCCATGTTGCCTGGGTTGTGTAACTGATGGTTTCTAGATGGGTGGTGATCTTGCTCTTAGACCCTTTCAAAGATTTTTATGATATGGGATGTTAGTGCTATTGGTCTGTAGTTCTTGCTGTTGCTTTACTGCCCCCTTTGTGGAGTGGGGCTATGTCTGTTGTTTTTAGTAACTGAGGGACGACCCCCGTGTCCATGCTCCCTCTCCATAGGATGGAAAAGGCTCGTGATAGGGGCTTCTTGCAGTTTCTTGATGAACACAGAGTTCCATGAGTCTGGCCCTGGGGCAGAGTGCATGGGCATGTCATTTATCGCCTGTTCGAAGTCATTTGGCGTCAGGATAACATCGGATAGGCTTTGTTAATCAAATTTTGTGGCTCTCCATAAAAAATCATTTTGATCTTCGACTCTCAGTCTGGTTAGCGGCTTGCTAAAAACTGAGTCATATTGGGACTTGAGTAGCTCACTCATTTCCTTGCTGTCATCTGTGTAGGACCCATCTTGTTTAAGTAGGGGCCCAATACTGGACGTTGTTCTCGATTTTGATTTGGCATAGGAGAAGAAATACTTTGGGTTTCTTTCGATTTCATTTATGGCTTTTAGTTCTTCCCGCGATTCCTGACTCCTAAAGGATTCTTTTAGCTTAAGTTCGATGCTTGCTATTTCTCTGACCAGTGTCTCCCTGCGCATTTCTGATATATTGACCTCTTTTAGCCGCTCTGTTATTCTTTTCCGTCGCCTGTAAAGGGAGCGCCTGTCTCTTCTATTTTACATCTACTCCTCCTTTTTCTTAGAGGAATAAGCCTTGTGCATACATCGAGTGCCACCGAGTTAATCTGTTCTAGGCATAAGTTTGGGTCTGTGTTGCTTAGTATACTTCCCAGCTTATATCGGTTAGGACTTGGTTTACTTGGTCCCACTTTATGTTTTTGTTATTGAAGTTGAATTTGGTGAATGCTCCCTCGTGACTAGTCTCATTTTGTCGGTCTGGGGCTCCACGCCATACATGTCTGAACCTCAATTATGTTGTGGATCTGAGTATATGTTTTTGATATGGTGACATTTCTTATCAGATCATCATTGTTAGTGAAGATGAGGTCTAGTGTATTCTCCAGTCTAGTAGGCTCTATTATTTGCTGGTTTAAATTGAATTTTGTGTGCAGAGATTTAAAAGCTCGTGTGAGTGTGAGTTTTCATCAGAGCTGCCTCCTGGTGTTATTACTGCAACAATATTATTTGCTATATTCCTCCATTTTAGGTGCCTTAAGTTGAAATCCCCCAGGAGCAAGATGTTGGGTGCAGGAGCTGGAAGATTTTCCAGACAGTGGTCAATTTTTAACAGCTGTTCCTGGAATTGCTGGGATGTTGCATCCGGAGGCTTGTAGACTACCACAATGACTAGGTTTTGGTTCTCGACCTTTACTGCAAAAACTTCCACTACGTCATTTGAGGCATTAAGCAGTTCTGTGCAAACAAGTGACTCTGCAATGTACAGGCCAACCCCCCCCTTTTGCCTGTTCACTCTGTCACATCTGTATAGGTTGTAACCTGGGATCCATATTTATGCTCTGATTTCTATCATTTTTGGTGCAAGTTAACCCTTTGAGGGTCGACAGGCCCTCTCCTAGATTTGTTCTCAGGGTCGGCCAAATTTCAAAAAAAAAAAAAAAAAAAAAAAAAAAAAAAAAAAAAAAAAAAAAAAAAAAAAAAAAAAAAAAAAAAAAAAAAAAAACATCTTATGAAAAGATAGAGAATCTTTTCCCGATCATAATGACACCAAAAGTATGAAATTTGATGGAAAACTTACGGAATTATGCTCTCGCGAAGTTAGCGGTCTCGATGATGTTTACGCATTGGCAATTTTGCCCACTTTGATCCCTATTTTTGGCCAATTCCTGTGTACTAGTCGACAAAAATCGTAACTATTTCTCTAGAACTCCATTTTTTCTATTGAATGAGTACAAGAAACCACCCATTTACTGATTTCAACTATCCAATACAGTGGTCAGAATTTAGCAATTTTGCCAATTTCACACAAATTTCAAAAGATGCCAATTTCCAAATAGGGTCCAGAATAAACAAGTAAGACATTCCTGGCACTAAAATAATATTTCCTCTGTTCGTTAGTCACATCCCCAGGCCCCTCTTATATTTCTTTGGCTTTCCACTTTCAATTTTTATTCTTACAAAAAATAGAAGATTTACTGTTATGCAGACTACTGCATTAGTGTAGAAATGGTATAAATAATATCAGCGCACTTGTGAAAGAATATTAGACTCACCAGTTGATGTGTATTGGACGCTTGGCATAATTTGTTTACTTTTGAACTTTGGTAAAAATCGAATATTTCTGCTACTTTGAGCTCAATTTCAAGGTACTTTTCATTGTAAAACCAGTCAAAATCATCTCAATTTCTGTAATATGTCTTCCATTCTATAAAATGAGACCAAGAAAACTAGAATACAATAAATACCATACGAAAATGCAGTGCAAAGTCGCTGTTTTATTCCAAAAACACGGTCAAAGTTTTTTTTTTCTCATTATGTACTGTGTGCTGCAGGATTTTTTTTTATACCGCGCACACTGACCACATAGACCCACTCTTTCATATGTATGCCTACCAGCTTTCTCCCACTAGATTTGAGGGCGCTAGAATTTAGGCGTACTAGTACGTCAAAAACCCTGGGTCGTAAGCCGTACTAGTACGGCCGAAACCCTCAAAGGGTTAAGAAACATTGTTCCATCATACATTGCCCAAGTTCCAATAAGATAGTCCAACAAACAAATGAGATACAATTCCCTAGATCAAGAGCAAGAGCCCCTCACCAGCATCAAGGAACCTGCCTTGAGGTCTGCTCGCTTATGGAAATTTTGCTTGCACATGGAAGCAAAAATCGACCCATTGACTGCTCATATTTGGAAAAACTCGCACGTGGATGCGCTCGCTAGTATTAGTTCCACTGTATACAGAAAGGCCCCTCTTTACAGCGCTTCGCTAATGCAGCGATTTTTCAATTATACCCATTCTTTATTTATTCAGACTCCTACAATAAATATATTCACCACTCACTATAAATTAAAGACGAAAATATATTAAGGTAAGTAGTGTGTATACTGTTTATGCATTTTTTAGGCTGAACTCTAATGCTCACTTAATATATGATAGTGTAAACATGTTATCAGGCTTTTATATGCAACTTAAAGTGAAAAGGTTATGTTTCACTTTACAGCAGTAGCCTGGAACCTAACCTGCTGTATAAGTGGGGCCCTCCCTTAAAGTACTAGAATAAATTTTTATAAAGATTTTTGTTTTAGGCTTGGTCTCAAGTTATTGTACTTTACTTAAAATTCTTGAAAAGGACACAGCTATTCAGTACTATATATTTATATATATAGTAGTGAATAAACTTCCTTTCTCAAACCAAGCAACAGTATCTAATAATTATTTGTAGTTAAACTTTTAATGTGGAAAATAAAACATCAGAAACGGGTGAAAAACCAATTATGTACATAAACTAGTGTGGTAGAAAATTAACTTTATAAAAACTACTCCCAAATTCCATTTTTAAAAATATATATAAGCTGTTTCATGCTATCTCTACACTTTCCTTACTGCTTAATAAAACACTTAATTTGGTTAAATCTAGAACCAATAATCAATAGAAAGAGAGAGACAGAGAGACAGACAGAGAGAGAGAGAGAGAGAGAGAGAGAGAGAGAGAGAGAGAGAGAGAGAGAGAGAGAGAGAGAGAGACAGAGAGAGAGAGAGAGAGAGAGAGAGACAGAGAGAGACAGAGAGAGACAGAGACAAACCTGGTCATCAAAATGAGTTTTTTTGGCTGGGTTCCCATTGGCTGTGCCATTGGATGCAGCTTGTGGTGATGTAACATTCTTCATGTGTTGTACAACCAGGTTCATCTTAACTTTCAGCTTTTTTGACTGACATATTTTTAGCGCTGGAAAACATCAACAAGTTACGGTAACACTTGTGAAAAATATAAATACATGTATTCATCTTAAAAAATTAGCACTGTATTGCTCATGCTTATATAAATACCACAAGGGATTTTTTTTAATATTAACTTGCTGTTTTGTTAGAAATGATGAAATAAACACTGTACGTGTTAATATGGAACAATAAGCAATCGGCTGTGTGTACACATATGCATGCATGTATGCACTCACACAAGTACGAAGGGGACAACAGAGCGATGGTGGACACACTGGCTGAGGTGGCAAGAAGAGCTCACTCGAGCAGAGCAAAGTTACCGGTTAGGGACAATTTCAACCACAGGCTGATCGACTAGGAAAACCTGGAGCCACATGGGGGCCCCGAAACATGGAGAGCTAAGAAGATGGATGTGGTACTGGATGTGGTACTTCAAAGGGACCTGTCAGGGACACTACCAGAGAGAGAGGGGAGGATGAACAAGCAAGACTGGACCTTGTGTTCACCCTGAGCAGTTCAGACATTGAGGACATCACGTATGAGAGGTCCCTTGGAGCTAGTGATCACGTGGTTCTGAGTTTTGAATATATAGTAGAGTTACAGGTGGAGAGGGCAACAGGAATCGAATGGGAAAAGCCAAACTATAAAAGGGGGGACTACACATGTATGAGGAACTTCCTGTAGGAGGTTCAGTGGGACAGAGAACTGGTAGGAAAGTCAGTAAACGAGATGATGGAATATGTAACAACAAAATGCAAGGAGGCAGAGGAAAGGTTTGTTCCTAAGGGCAATAGAAATAATGGGAAGACCAAAGCGAGTCCTTGGTTTACCCAAAGGTGCAGGGGAGCAAAAACTAAGTGCACCAGAGAATGGAAAAGGTACAGGAGGCAAAGGACCCAGGAAAATAAAGAGATTAGTCGAAGAGCCAGAAACGAGTATGCACAGATAAGGAGGGAGGGCCAGCGACAGTACGAAAACAACATAGCATCGAAAGTCAAGTCTGACCTGAAACTGCTGTATAGCCACATAAGGAGGAAGACAACAGTCAAAGACCAAAGAAAGTGGGGAACTAACAAGAAATGATCAAGAGGTATGTGAGGACCTCAACAAGAGATTTAAGGAAGTATTTACAGTGGAGACTAGAGCGCAGGTAAGAGAGATATATCATAATCTACACCTAGAAGATTCTGGAGGGACTGGTCCCTAATATGCACACAACAACCACTCCATACGAAAGCAAAAGACTTGGCAGGCGATGCAACATACCCCCAGTGAATAGTAGGGGCGTCACTGGTACACTAAGAGAAAATGCAATAAGTGTCCGGGGCTCAAGACTATTCAACAGCCTCCCACCAGCAATAAGGGGCATTACGGGAAGACCCCTGGTTGTCTTCAAGAGGGAGCTGGACAGATACCTAAAGATGGTGCCGGATCAGCTGGGCTGTGGTTCATATGTTGGATTGTGTGTGGCCAGCAGTAACAGCCTCGTTGATCAGGCCCTGATCCACCAGGAGGCCTGGCCGTGGACCGGGCTGCGGGGGCATTGATCCCCAGAGTGCCCTCCAGATAGACTCCGGGTAGGCAGGTAGGCCTCAGGGAGGACAGTACAGAGGGGGACACCAACAAGGAATATACCAACAAGTGTTGGATGACATACACACAACTGAGGAGGAGGTGAAGAAGCTGCTAAGAGACCTTGATACCTCAAAGGCAATGGGACCAAACATCTCCCCATGGGTCCTTAGAGAGGGAGCAGAAATGCTGTGTGTGCCACTAAATATCTGCCTGGATGATGACTAACAAACTTACCCTGAACACTGATAAAACCTATTTCATTCAGTTTTTAAACAAAGCTGACCCAATTAACATAACGCTAAATGGATCATCAGTCACAAGACTCACAGGGGGAAAATTCCTAGGTATCCACTTGACAGTAGCCTTAAGTTCCGGACACACATACAACAAATCACCAAGAAAATCTCCAAGACTGTAGGCATACTATCAAAGATAAGGTACTACGTTTCACAATCAGCGCTCCTGGCACTGTACCATTCACTCATATACCCTTATCTTACATATGGAATTTGTGCATGGGGATCAACAACATCCAATCACCTAAAACCCCTAATAACCCAGCAAAATGCAGCAGTAAGAATGATAACAAATTCCCACTCCCGCCAGCATACTCCACCAATTTTCAAAAGTCTGAATCTGCTCACCATTAAGAACATCCATACTTATTCATGTGCCTACTACATACACAGAACAATATACACAAATATAACCCCCCCCCCTCAAACTTCTCCTCACCAACCTAAACAGGACACATGACCACAACACAAGACACAGATCTCTTTTTGATATACCTCGTGTCCATATCACACTGTAAAAACTCTATGTGCATAAAGGGCCCCAAAATATGGAATTCATTACCAGAAGATATTAAAGTAACCCAGTCTGAAAATCAATTTAAGACTCTTCTCAAAAGCCACTTAATCACCCTAGACTAAAAGCTAAATACTCAGTACACACTTCTCACCTATGTACTCCCACATCATAACAAACAATCACATTGAACCTTTTATCCATTGTTGACAGGATTATAATTGAATCATTGTTTTCACAAAAAGCATTTTCGAATATAAATATATCTTTGTATTATACAAATTTTGATTCATTTATAATTAATATTCCACTGTACAACTATGAAATAATTACAATCCTGCTGTACAACTATGATATACTCTTTAGTACTAAGTAGACTGTAAGCCAATAATGTTAAGTTGGCCCATAATGCCTAGGCATAATAGAAGCTCTCTTTGCATTGCAACCCACTACTGTAAATACAAAATCTCAATGTACTGTTTGCAAAGACATAAAATAAATAAATAAATAAATAAACCACAGACCGGGCCGCGGGGGTGTTGACCCCCGGAACTCTCTCCAGGTAAACTCCAGGTAAACATCCTTTGAAACTGGGCAACTACCTGAGGTATGGAAGACTGCAAATGTAGTTCCCATTTTTAAAAAAAGGAGACAGAAAAAGAGGCACTAAACTATAGACCAGTATCATTGACGTGTATAGTATGCAAAGTCATTGAGAAGATTATCAGGAGGAGAGTGGTGGAGCACCTGAAACGAAAGAAAAGTATAAAAGCCAACCAGCACGGATTTATGGAAGGCAAATCCTGTGTCACAAACCTTCTGGAGTTTTATGATAAAGTAACAGAAGTAAGACATGAGAGGGGTGGGTTGATTGCATTTTCTTGGACTGCAAGAAGGCCTTTGACACAGTTCCTCACAAGAGATTAGTGCAGAAGCTAGAGGATCAGGTGCGTATAACAGGAAGGGCACTGCAATGGATCAGAGAATACCTGACAGGGAGGCAACAACAAGTCATGGTATGTGATGAGGTATCAGAGTGGACACCTGGGACGAGCGGGGTCCCACAGGGGTCGGTCCTAGGACCAGTGCTATTTTTGGTATATGTAAATGACATAAGGGAAGGGTTAGACTCAGAAGTGTCCCTGTTTGCAGATGATGTGAAGTTAATGAGGAGAATTAAATCAGATGAGGATCAGGCAGGACTTCAAAGAGACCTGGACAGGCTGGACACCTGGTCCAGCAACTGGCTTCTCGAATTTAACCCCGCCAAATGCAAAGTCATGAAGATCGGGGAAGGGCAAAGAAGACTGCAGATGGAGCACTGGCTAGGTGGCCAAAGACTGCAAACCTCACTCAAGAAAAAAGATCTTGTGGTGAGTATAACACTGAGCACTTCTCCGGAAGCACACATCAACCAGATAACTGGTGCAGCATATGGGCGCCTGGCAAACCTGAGAACAGTATCCCGATACCTTAGTAAGAAATCGTTCAAGACACTGTACACCATGCATGTCAGGCCCATACTTGAGTATGCAGCACCTGTTTGGAACCCACACTTGATCGAGCACATCAAGAAATTAGAGAGAGTGCAAAGGTTTGTGACAAGGGTAGTTCCAGAGCAAAGGGGAATGCCCTACAAAGAAAGGTTAAGGGAAACTGGCCTGACAACACTGGAGGACAGGAGGGTTAGGGGAGACATGATAATGACATACAAAATACTGCATGGAATAGACAAGGTGGACAGAGACAGGATGTTCCAGAGAGGGGACACAGAAACAAGGGGTCTCAATTGAAAGTTGAAGACACAGATGAGTCACAGGGATGTTAGGAAGCATTTCTTCAGTCATAGAGTAGTCAGGAAGTGGAATAGCCTAGCAAGTGAGGTAGTGGAGGTAGGAACCATGCATAGCTTTAAGATGAGGTATGATAAAGCTCATGGAGCAGAGAGAGAGAACCTAGTAGCACTCAGTGAAGAGGCAGGGCCAGGAGCTGAGTCTCGACTCTTGCAACCACAATTAGGCGAGTACAGTGGACCCCCGCATAACGATGGCATCACATAGCGATTTTTCCGCATAACGATTACTTTTATCGCAAAATTTTTGCCGCGCATACCGATTAAAAACCCGCATACCGATTTTCGTCCGAGACGCGTCCAATGTGCCCTCAGCCAGCCTCACATGTGCCGCCCCGTCCCATTGTTTACCAGCCAGCCTCCGCGGTAACATCCAAGCATACACTCGGAATATTTCGTATTATTACAGTATTTTCGGTGCTGTTTTCTGGAAAATAAGTGACCATGGGCCCCAAGAAAGCTTCTAGTGCCAACCCTACACCTCAAAGGGTAAGAATTACTATAGAGATGAAGAAAGAGAATAAATTTATAAGTATGAAATGGAGTGCGTATAGCCGACCTAGTCAAGCTGTACAAGAAACCCCAATCAACCATCGCTACTATTGTGGGCACCAGAAAGACAATCAAGGAAGCTGTTCTTGCCAAAGGTTCAACTGTGTTTTCGAAACAAAGATCGCAAGTGATGGAAGATGTTGAGAGACTCTTATTGGTGTGGATAAATGAAAAAACAGATAGCAGGAGATAGCGTCTCTCAAGCGATCATATGTGAA